ACTTTATCTCCACTACTCAGTGAAGTTTCTCCAGAACCAAATCCTCCCTTCCACCCCTCCTTCTTCAGTGTACTTCCCCAGCCCTTGGACCTCTAGACAGGCTGCCTCCTCTGCCATGGAGTCTGGAAGTTACACTTTGTGTTCTCCTGATGCCCCTGCCACCCCCACCCTAAGTTATTGCTGTCCTCCCGCTGTGTGTGTGCTCATCCTCACCCTCATCGACTCAGGCCTGGGGCCAGGGGTGGTAGTGGGTGGGAAGAGTCATGTTTTTTTTTTCTTCTCTTTGATTTTGTTTTTCTGTCTCCCTTCCAACCTGTCCCCTTCCCCCTACCAAAAAAAAAAAGAAAAAGACAAACACAAATAAAATATCTGAGCGGAACTGTACCTTTGGCCCAGGCTGCCTCTGTCTGCTTTGTCCTGCCGCCTAGCCTCCCTGGTATGCCCCCAATCTAGACCCTTGACCCCCAGTTCCACGACCGCTTCACCACCATCTACGTTATCTTAACCCCTTTCACTCCTCAACCTCATCCTCTCTGGCTTCATAGTTTCATTACACTACAACCACCCCCAGCTCTGGGGTCTGGGCCCCTGTTGAGCTTCCACAGAACTTCTTGGTCCCACAGTTCCCTGTTTGTAGGTTCCTTCCAGAGAGCCCTTTGGTTCTGGGTCCTTTGTCCTCTGAGCCCTGCCTTTTATCCCAATCCATTCCCTCCATGGTTCCCTTCTGTCTGGGAGCAGAATTTCTCTCCTGGCATCGAGCATTACCGCAGAGGGTTGGGGGATGAGACTGCAAACCCTCCACAGTGGGGGAGGGTGAGCTTGGGGGGCCAGGCAGAGAGTGTTGGAAGAGTGGAAATGGGATTGGTTGTGGGCTTGGGGTGGGAGCTGAGTGTATAAGGAGTGGGGCTGGGATGTGGATCTGGTCAGGAGGGTGGCAGCTGCTGGCCCATTGAGTTCGCCAGGCCCTTTCTGGCCACTTCCTTTGCCCCTTTCCCTTACGTGGCCCAAGATGGGGCAACCCCTTCTTATCCGTCTCTTAGCTCAGTGCTTACCCTCCTTCCCTCCCTTCCTCCCTGAGGTGCCGAACCTGGGACTTCTCTGTCTTTCCTTAGTGTGTTGCTTTCTTCCATGGGTGTTTTGTGTGACTTGGTTTTCTGACTCTTATGCACATTCTTATATTTGCTCACGTGTTTCTATCTCTAGGTCATACTTTCTCCCTCTCTGCATGGTCAGAGCTTCTTGTGTGTAGTCAGTATTCCACACAGATTCTTGGTTCCCTATCTGTGAACATGCTGTCTGATGCTCTTCCTTGTCGGTTTTCCACCCAGCTCTGTGAATGTGCTCTTGGAACCTGTCTTGTTTTCTCTGCATCTCTTGCCCAAGAGCCTTCCTGATCTCTCAACACAACCCCATCTCTCCATGTCTGTCTGTATACAGCTCCCCCCGCCCCCTCTGTCTAACATGTTTTCTGTTTCTCTCCCTCTCCCTGTCTCTGCTTCTGTCTCCTCTCCTCCTCTCTCTTCTCCCCCTCTCCCCTGGTTGTTCCTCCTCCTCCTCCTTTTCCTCTTCTTCCTCCCCCCGCCCCCATCTCCCTTCAATCCATCCACTGCGTAGTCTAAGGAGCTGCAGATCAAGAAGCAGTTCCAGGAGACGTGCAAGATCCAGACTCGGCAGTACAAGGCTCTGCGGGCACACTTGCTGGAGACCACACCCAAAGCTCAGCACAAGAGCCTTCTTAAGCGGCTCAAGGAAGAACAGACCCGCAAGCTGGCAATCCTGGCCGAGCAGTACGACCAGTCCATCTCAGAGATGCTCAGCTCGCAGGCGGTGAGGCCTGGGGTCCAGGGAGGGAGCATGGTGGCAGTTGGCTTCTGTATTTACATGTAGTTATGGGTGGTGGAAGTAAGGGATGTAGACAGAGATGGGCCTTTTTTTGCCTGGGAAACTCATACTCTTCCATTGTTATTATTCTCTCCAATGGTTTTATCATCTCTCTTAGTGTTTTCTTAAGGTATTGACAAAGCCGGCTTACCTGTTGTACCAAGAACCACCAAGGAAATGAGTGGCTATAATTTTTTTACAGGGCCTGAGTTAGTTGAATGTATTTACAGGGAGCAGGTCAAAACAATTGTGGCCTTTGGGCCCATTTACCCAAAATCTGGAGGATTTTGAAGTTTGCTGTTCTAAAAGTGATCACACACAGCAGTGGGACTGGCTGCTTAAAATATACATATGTGCAAATGGGCTCCCAAAAAACGACCAAACTCACTGCCGTTGAGTCAATTCCAACTCATAGTGACCTTATAGGATAGAGTAGAACTGCCCCATAGAGTTTCCAAGTCTGTAATATTTACAGAAGCTGACTGCCACATCTTTCTCCCGCAGAGCAGCTGGTGGGTTCAAACTGCTGACCTTTTAGTTAGCAGCTGAGTGCTTTTAACACTGTGCCACCAGGGCTCCTCAAAAGGGCCCCCATTCCTTGCCAAGCTCTCTCACCCAAATCCCCCTTCTCAAAGGTAACTATTATTACTAATGACTGTGTATTCTAGGTTTTCTCCTATGCATATTTGGAAAATTATATAAAACTTCTACACAGAAATGGAATCATACTTTACATACTGTTCTCTAACTTCCTTTTTCCACTTAATATTTCTTGCACATCTTTCCATGTTTGTACACATCTCATTTTTAACAGCGTAGAGTTTTCTGTGGTATGAATGTACCATAATTTATTTAACCAAACCCTTATTGGTGGACATTTAGGTTGTTTCCAGTAGTTTGCTATTGCAACGCCTCTGTGAACACCTTCAAGCACATGTGCAAGTATACCTGGGGGATAAATTCCTGGAAGTGTAATTGCTGTGTCACAGGGTATGACGATCTTTAATTTTGGTAGATGTTGAGACTGGCTGCTGCTTGAAACCTCAGGGCCCAGGCCTACCTGGGGCAGCGGAGGATTATGGGGGTAGGGAGGAGGTCCCTAAAACTGGTTCTTTTTCTCCAGCTGCGGCTCGATGAAACTCAAGAGGCAGAGTTCCAGGCCCTTCGGCAGCAGCTTCAACAGGAGTTGGAGCTGCTCAATGCTTACCAGAGCAAGATCAAGATCCGCACAGAGAGTCAGCATGAGCGGGAGCTGCGGGAGCTGGAGCAGAGAGTAGCTCTGAGGCGGGCACTGCTGGAGCAGCGGGTAAGGGGGCTCGGCCTCCAGGCTGGGCGGGGAGGGCAGGCTCCCCACCTCTGGACTTTCTAACCTCTGTTCTGGGTGCCCCAGGTGGAAGAGGAGCTGCTGGCCCTACAGACAGGGCGCTCCGAGCGAATCCGGAGTTTGCTCGAGCGGCAGGCCCGTGAGATCGAGGCCTTCGATGCTGAGAGTATGAGGCTGGGCTTCTCCAGCATGGCTCTCGGGGGCATCCCAGCCGAGGCTGCTGCCCAGGGCTATCCTGCTCCACCTCCTGCCCCTGCTTGGCCCTCCCGTCCTGTTCCCCGCTCAGGGGCACACTGGAGCCACGGCCCTCCTCCACCAGGCATGCCCCCTCCAGCCTGGCGTCAGCCCTCTCTGCTGGCTCCCCCAGGTCCCCCAAACTGGATGGGGCCCCCAGCACAGAGTGGGACACCCCGTGGTGGAGCTCTGCTGCTGCTAAGAAACAGCCCCCAGCCCCTACGGCGGGCAGCCTCAGGGGGCAGTGGCAGTGAGAACGTGGGTCCACCTGCTGCCGCAGTGCCTGGGCCTCTAAGCCGCAGCACCAGTGTCGCTTCCCACATCCTCAACGGTTCCTCCCACTTCTACTCCTGAAGTGCAGAGCGCATGAGCAGATGAGCTGGACAGGGTGGGTGGTGCCTGATCCTGGAGGGCAGTAAGCTTGAGGCCCACCCAAGGGTCGGGGACAGGATGTCAGCTCCAGTTCCCTTCAAACCTCATCTCATGAGCTTCTCGGGGCTGGCCAGTGGCCCAGGGCCAGCTTGGGCATAGGTGCCTCAAGGCTGACCAGGAGCCCCTGCCTCCCCACCATGGTGCCGGGGCCTCCCTCCGTCACAGCCTAGGGAAAGGAGGGAGGTGTGCGTGCGTGTCAAATATTCATCTAGTCCCTTGGGGGAGGGAAAGGGTGGGTCTAGAGATATTCAGAAAACTACTATTCCCTGCAATGGGGCCGTGGACTGCAGATGCCAGAGCCCCCAGACCTGGGGCCTGGCAGAGCAGGTCTGGGGCGGGGAGAACAGGAGGAGGTGGCCTTCCTAGGAAAGAAGGATCAGGATGGGGTCTTGTAATTGAGATGCCTGGGTCTCTCCACTCCTCCGTTGCTGTCTGAAGTCCTGTGCCGTCTTGTCCTTTTTTTTTTTCTTTCTTCTTTTTTTTAATTGGGATCAGGGCTGGGACAGGGGACCAAGGGGAAGGACCTTGGAAGGGGCTTCTCCCAGGCATGGGGCAGTCATGGGGCCCCTCTCAGCTTATGGGTCTGGCACAGAACCCCAGTGCAAGCTTGTAATAAACTATTGGTTACTCTAACAGACCCCAGGACTCACCCTTTCTGTCTAAGCTGTGTAGTAAGGGCTGTTTTCAGCAGCAAGTGATAGTTTACTTGTATTTATTGGGCTGTGTAATTAAAAATTTCAGTTGTTTTTGATGGCTTCAGCCATAACTGGATCCAAGGCCTCAAAGCATGTAATCTGCCTCTTGGTCTCTTGATTTCCCTGCTTTTCTTTGCTTTAGCTTTGAGGATTCTCAGAAGGTTCACTTCACGCATAGGCTCCAAGCTTACATCTTACCAAGCAACCTCAACAGAAAGATTCCAGCAAAGTCCTGAGGTGACTTCATTGGCTTAGTCTGTAGCCAGAGGCATGGGGTCAGGTCTAGGTCCTTTTGTTGTGTGCCATGGAGTCGATTCTGACTCATAATGACCCCATAGGACAGAGTAGAACTGCCCCATAGGGTGTCCTAGGCTGTAATCTTTATGGGAGCAGATCACCAGAGAGAAATCTCCTGCAGAGCTGCTGCTGGGTTCAAACTGCCAGCCTTTCAGTTAGCAGCTGAACACTTTAACCATTGTACCACCAGGGCTTCTAAGTCCTGTACCCGCTCCTTTTAGACTGAAGTAGAGAGTAATCCCATGCACTAAGTGGCTGTTTCCAAGAAGAGGGAAAAGGAAGACACAAACCAGCTATCTCCAAGTCATTTTGTGCTTCACATTCTTCCCAAAGCCAATTATCCAGATCCTCTTAACTAGGCATTAGGTTATCAGACGTAACTAAAAGCAGGGTGATGAGAGGTGCCCACTGGGCAGGCTGGAGGGAGAATAGGCAGCTGTACCCTTCTCTGATAATAGTCTGGTGGCAGACTGGATGGCAGTGTCTGGAGGCTGGGAGTCAATTGGAGAGCCTGGGAAAAGAGGAGGAAACAGATGAGGAGCAGTGGCTCCTGCTCAGCTCCTGGCCCAAAGTACAGAGGGTAAGAGAGGACCAGTTTTGATGAGGTGACTACAAACACTCCTTTATTGAATCTTAAAAAATAAACCCCTGTAAACAACTTAAACTGAGAAAATGAAGCAGAAAAGTTGGGTCCCGACAGCTTGTGTCTCTGGAGGCTGCTTGTCTTCGGAGAAAGCTGCTTCAACTCTGTGCAGGCACAAAACAGAAGGTGCTATATATGCTTTGTACAAGTGGCAAGGGTCCCTCCTAGCGGGGCAGGGGGAGCTCAGTTACTCTCGCCATCACTGCTGATGATGCCACGCATATGTGACCAGTCTGGGGGTGGGGGATGGGGCCGCTCTTCATCTGAGTCCAGGGTCCTGCGGTACGGCTCCCCTGAGGAGGCTGCTTCTCCTGAAGGGTTCCAGGCTGTGCGTCTGCGTGGCCGGCCTAGGGGGAAGGGGAGATTATTTGTCTGCGAAAGCCCAACCCCATCTTTTCCTGGGGGAGTGAGAGGAAGCCCCTTACCTGAACTGCTGATGATGTTGGCAACGTCCAAGGAGGCCACCTCGGCTGCCTCTTCCCGCTGCTCCTTCAGGGCCCGACACTTCTCCAAGGAAGGGTTACCTGGGCCAGAAAGGGCAAGTGAGCCTCTCCTCTGCAGCAGAGGCCCCTTCATGTGGCCCCCAGGGCATTCCTAGCCTCACCTCTCATGCCCAGGGCTTCCAGCTCTGCCCGGAGAACACTGAGGCGCTCCTTGTGCGAGTGACAGGAGCCCAGCAGCTTCTTGTAGTTGCGATAGGCCCCACAGGCCCGGATATAGCGCTTTAGCCTCATCACAGCTGGGTGGTCTTCACCACGGCGACCAGAGACAGCCTGGCAAGGAAAGACAGCAACTGAAGGCCAAGACTGCTGGGCTTGAGTCAGGGTCTCCCTATTCCCTGATGGTGGCCTTCCTCCCCATCTTCACCCTCACCTTCCTGCCTTTGGGTTCTGGACTTCCATCTGAGGAGGAGGAAGAGGAGCTTCGTGTCTTGCCTTTCTTGGAGCTCTTCTTGGAAGAGCGGTTCTTCCTCTCCCCTTTGGGACTCCCTCCTGCCTCGCTGTCACTCACCTCCCTCTCCAAGTCACTGTCCTCACCGTTGATACTGTCCGCTTTGGCTGTCTTTCCAGTGCTTTTATTCCTTAGTTTCACCTTCCTCCAGCTGTCTTCCCCGTCCTCCTCGCTGCTCCCACTCTGCCTTTTCCCAACCTTACACTGGGCCCTGTCCTTGCTCTTCCTTCGCACTGGGAGCTTTTCATCTCCCCCGATGTTATCCCCACTACCTGTTGCCTCTTTTTCCTTCTCTTCCCCTCCGTCCTCCCAGTCTCCCGTTGGCCTCCCTGCCCTGCTTTTCTGCTTAAAGCTCCTCTCCTCCCAAGCTAACCTTTTCCCTCCACTGCTCGTGGCTCTGCGTTCCCATTCCTCTTCCTCGTCCCCCTCCTCTTCCTCTTCCTCCTCTTCCTTGTCCCCCTCTTCTCCCTCTGCCTCTTCCCCCTCTTCTCCCTTTTCCTCTTCTCTACTCTCTTTTTTCATGGCTGGAATCTCTTCTTTATCATTGTCACTCTCCTTTTCACTTTCCTGGTGGCTTCTAGTTCCTTTCTTTCCCTCCCCCTTCCTTCCCATACTCTGGGCAGGTTCCTCACTGTCCTCACTCTCCTCCTTGGCCTGCTTCCTGCTGACTGAGGCCTTGCCTAGTGTCTGCTTGTCCTTCTTTGTCATCATTTTCTTCCTAGTCCTGCCCTTGAACTCCTCCTTTTTTTCTTCCTCCTTTTCCTCCTCTTCCTCACTACTCTCTTCCTTCCAGACCTTACTTGTTTTGACAGAGCTTTCCTCCTCTTCCTCCTCACTGCTGTCCTTCACCACCTCCTCTAATCCCATCTTTGCAGTCGGGTCCCTCTGCTGTTCTTCCTCATCTCTGCTCTCCATTGCTTTCTTTGAGGCTCGCCTTGGACTCTTCTCAGCTGGGCTGACTTCTGCTGCTGCCATTCTGTTCTTTGCTGAGGAGCCAAAGCAGTCTGGACTGGAAGCTGCAGAGCTGAGCTCTAGAATATGGAGAGATGGGATGGGACTGGTTCTTCCTGTCCCTTCTCCCTTCACTTGGGATAGGTTGCCTCTAGTCGTGCTCTGACAGGTAGAGTGAAGAGCAGCAGAAAACAGCTACAAGTCCACCCTGATACTGGCTCCCGACTCAATAACCCCCCTTATCTACCTTGGGACATACTTCGTGCTCAATACTTTCTGAATAAACCAACAATGCAAAAGGCACTGATGGCTGGGAAGAGGCACTAACCTGACTCTGAATTTAAACGGAATCTTTTTCTCTCTGGCTCACTGGAGGAAATAGGAGGCCTCTTCACTTTCTTCGTAAGATCTAGCTTCTTCCTGGTACCCGCTTCGTCCACCTGTGTGTGCATCAAGAGATCAAGACGGCAAAGCATGTACCCAGGTTGTGTTCTGCCCCACCACCTTGGCAACAAGCCCCGCCCCCTGTGGCCCAGGCTCGTGCCCACACCTGCATCTTCAGCAGCTCCTCTTCCACCAGCCGCTTCAGCGCTTGCTTCTCCTCAGGTTCCAGATGGTCGCGGCCCACGTGAGCCAAGAACCTCTGCCGTACGATGGAGTGCGTGAGCGTACTGCGGGGACATGGTGTCAAGACGGAGTCCCCAGCCCGCCCCTGCCCTTTCCAGTCCCACCTCCAGCCCCAAGTGCACCTGAGGTCCGGGCGTCCTCGGAAGAGGCTACGGGTGAATTCCTGCATCCCGCTATCCCGCGCCATTTTGCTCCACCCGGGATTGGCGGCTCCCGCCTTTTTTCTTCACAGCCTCCGTCAGCGCGTTTGACAGGGGGTCGCGCACGCGCAGTGCCGTGGCACCGGGAGGCGAGGGACCGTTATGTCTCAGTCGCAGGCTGCTCGGGCAGAGAACTTTACCAGGCAAATCTTGCTTCCCCCCGCGGCAGTTGGAGGGTCTCGCGGTTCCTTCCCTTTCTTAGAACGAATCTTTGTAACAAAGTTCTCGTTAGAAACCGCTTCAGCGCCGGCAACCTTAGGTGTGATGTAATCAACCCGCGACGCTGCCTTCATGGCGCCTGGTCACGCGCACCAGCTATGTCGCTGTTATTTCGAAAGGCAGAAGACATTCTTGCAAGGAGACTAGGAATCCTGGGGTGGGGGAGTCTTTTTGTGCCTTCAAATCTGTAAGCACATTTACAATCAGGAACGGCGCCCTCCGGCGTCCGCCATCTTTGTGACATCATCACGTCACTGCGACGCCATCTTTAGCGTAGCCGCTCGAAGCAACATTCCTTTCCCGATATTACCCGTGAGGGCAGTAGGTGTTCTTACGCTCCTTGGGCGCGGGGAGCGGCGGGAGTTGTAGTCCCAGTGGACAGAGTCCTACAGAATCTCCGGAAGTCTAGGTCCGGTTGAGCCGGCTCGTGGTAGCAGGACTACCGACGCTGGGTCGCTGCTCCGGCGGCCGGTCATGAACGGGCCGACGGACGGCGAGGTGGACTACAAAAAGAAATATCGGAACCTGAAGCGGAAGCTCAAGTTTCTCATTTACGTGAGTGCTGCGGTGGAGAGGTTCTGGGTGGTGAGGCCTGGCGCTGAGAGGACCTCAGTTTACCCATGTGTAAGGGGGATGGAGAGAGCTGTCGCTAGCCTCTGGGGCCCTTTACGGACAGCCGTTGGCTCAGTGCCTACCTTGCCTGGATGCAGGAACACGAGTGCTTCCAGGAGGAGCTGAGGAAGGCGCAGAGGAAATTGCTGAAGGTGTCCCGGGACAAGAGGTGAGGCACACTGAGGGAGGAGGATGGTGAGGTGGCTACGGTGGATTTACTTTCGGGCCCTGCCCTGGAATAGGGCCACAAATGCCTAGCGCTTGCCTCGAAGCTGTTCCGAGGATCCAGCGGACCAGCTAGGAGGTTAGCGGGCCCAAGAGAGCATCGCTGAGATGGGAATAAACAGTCCTGTTCTCCCCTCCTCTTCCCTCAGTTTCCTTCTTGACCGACTTCTGCAGTACGAGAACGTGGATGAAGACTCTTCTGGTGAGCAACGTCATGAGAAATTGACGGAGAACATGGCTTCTGGCACTCCAGCAAGCTTTCTGGGATGCTCCTTTTAGGCTCTGGAGGCTTGTGCAGCCTCCAGCGGTTCCTTTTGCTTGCCTTCCACCCCTACCATTCTTTCACTCAAGTATTTATTGAGTACCGTGTTTCAGGCATTGTGCTTGGAACAGGGAGTATAGCAATAACCAAGATGGACAAAGCCCTTGGCCTCTTGCAATTCATATTCGCGGGTAGGGGGGAAGTAAACAGAGAAATGAGCTAGAATTTTAGATAGAGTAAGGGTTTTGAAAGGAGTAAAAGCAGTTATGTGGTAGTGATTGGCATAGAGCAAGGATTGACAAACTTTCTGTAAAACACCAGGTAGTAAATATATTAGATTTTGTGAGACTTATGGGCTCTGTCCCAGCTACTCAGCTCGCTGCTGTAGTGCAAAAACAGCCATAGACAATATGTAAAAAAATAATAATGGCTGTATTCCAATAAAACTTTTATTTATGAACACTGAAATTTGAATTCCATATAATTTTCACGTCATGAAATTTTTTTTTTTTCCCGATCATGTAAAAATGTAAAAGCCACCTTAGCTTGCAGATCATTCAAAAGCAGGTAACAGGCAGTGGCTCAATAGAGTGATCAAGAAAGGCCTTTTTTAGAAAGTAACATTTGAGCTGGGACCTAGATTATAGGAAGAAACCAGTCCTGTGAGGATATGAGTGAGAGCTTTCCAAGAAGAGGGAATAACAAATACAGATGCCCTGAGGTAAGAACAAGCCAGGCATAGAGGGTGACACATATAGAGCACTATATCTTACATCAAGATCAAGTCCCCGCATATATACTTATAAGACATAGTGAAGTAGTGTTAAGAACGCTACATTCAGTTTATCCTGATACTTTTTAGACATTTTATCTTCTCCTTTTGATGCTCGTTGCAAACCACTAAATTGATTTCATGACCCATCAATGGGTTGAGATCCATAGTTTGAGGTGGCCATTTGTGGCCTTGTTCCACTGTTTGGCCTTCATAACCTGTGTTACAATCACCTCCCTTCACGGTGCCTCTAAACATGGGTTTAGAGCAGGAATCGGCAAACTCTTGCCAGCCAGGCTGCTCAGTTTTATAAATGTTTTCTTGGAACATGCAGTGTCCATTCATTTATGTATCTCAAGAGGATAGTAGATAAGATCAGGAACCTAGGTGGTCAGGGGTTAAAGCGCTGGGCTGCTAACCAAGACAGGTTGGTGGTTCGAACCTACCAGCCACTCCTGGGAGAAAGATGTGGCAGTCTGCTTCCGTAAAGATTGATAGCCTTGGAAACCCTGTGGGGCAGTTCTGCTTTGTCATATAGGGTCACTATGAGTCAGAATCATCTCGACGCAGTGTGTTTAGTTTGGTTTGGTTCGAGTACTTGCTGACAGTGGGGAGAGATGTGATCAGGTTTACATTTCAGGTCATTCCGGGATTGGAGTGGATTAGTGGGTGGCAGCGTGAGGTGAGACTGCTTAGGAGGTGATTTTGATGTGGTAGCCTGACCTTGTGGCAGTTGGAATGGGGGACAGTGATAAAGGGAGGAGAGATTGGAGGGGAACAACAACAGGACTTAGATGTCAGCAGTGGAGCAAAGGGAGGAGCTGAAGGGAGCTTAGCGGCAAATAAAGAAAGAGTGACATAAAGTGGTCAAGGGGTCACAGACATGAGTTCAAGTTCCGGCCCCACACAGTACTTTCTGAGCCTCAGTGACCTGTCTGGAAAGTTGAGGTGATACCCTTCCCTTCCTCCTTGGATAGTTTCCAAGGCGAGAAGAGATAGTGAATATAAAGTGTCCAGTACAGAATTTGGCACATAGTAAGTGCTTGACAGACATACTGTCATGGGCAGGAAGTAGGATGTGAAGGACGTTTTAAGAAGCTGGGAGCCTGCCCAGAATAGCACATGTGTACCATTTGAGGAGTCAGATTCCTCTGGCTTTCCATAGGGCTGAGGTTACACCCCTCTGGGGTAGACTAGACCCCCTGCCCCTCAGTAAACCAGCCCTCACCTCTCACAGACTCAGATGCCACTGCGTCTTCAGATAACAGTGAGACAGAGGGGACACCCAAGTTGTCGGACACTCCAGCCCCCAAGAGGTGAGAAGAAGCCAGTGTTCCTTTCTGGGGGAGGGTAGGGGGTAGGATACCTGGCCTCCTAGCTGCCTCTGACCCCTCCTCCCTGTCCTTTCTCCAGGAAGAGAAGCCCTCCGCTGGGTGGTGCCCCCTCCCCCTCCAGTCTCTCCCTGCCTCCTTCAACAGGGTTTCCCCTTCAGGCTTCTGGGGCCCCCTCCCCATACCTGAGCTCGGTGAGTTGGGGTCAAGGGTGGGAAGTGGTGAATTAAAGTGCCTGGGAATAAGACAGGTATCATTTGGGCAGAGGGGCCAGGCTTTGGGGTGAAGCTGGCCTAGCTCTGGGGATGTCTTTCTGGGTGTGGCCAGCAAGCACCCCTTGGAGGGTGTGAGTCGGGCTGCCCGCTTCCTCTCTCTGGTGTAGGAATGGGGGACAGACATGACTGAGGAGAGCAGACCACAGGACAAAGTCCTACTGCTGTCCCCTCCGCTTCTCTCAGGAGCCAGGGGGAGCCACACTCATCAGCCATCTCTTTTGTTTTTCCATTCTCCCTTTGTTTGCATTTCTCCCCTTCACCCCCACCCCAATCCACTCCATCTCCCATGTCCATCCCGCCACAGCAGCTGGCCTCCCCCCCCTACCCCCCATTCCCTTCTGACTACCTGGCCCTGCAGCTGCCCGAGCCCAGCCCCCTGAGGGAGCCCAGCCCCCTGAGGCCCACGCGGCAGAAACGGCCCCGCCTGCCCCGGAAACTCAAGGTACCCTGATTTGGGGAGGCCAGGGAGGGGCCAGGATGGCTGGAGGACAGCCATCCAAGGGAGGCTTAGGACAGGGACTGGAGGCCTGTCCGAGAACTCTGAATAACTGATTTGGAGCTCCTGGGGCCCAGGCCAGGGCTAGGCTCTGAGGGGTGGCTCAGAGAGGTCCTGGCCCACAGCTCATTGCAGAGACAAATCAGGGGCAGAACCAGCCTTGGGAACTCAGAGTGAGGGTACCTGGGGTCCACCTCTCTCACTGCTGCAGTGTGGGTAGCAGCAAGACTTGGTTTTCACATACTGGGGATGTTCTGTGATGCCAGCATCCCAGAAGAGAGGAAAGAGTTGTAGAATCCAGTCAAGGCTTCCACCAGTTAAAAACCATATGACCTTGAGCAGGTCTCTTTGACCCTCCAGGTCGCCAGTTCTGCATCTGTAAAGTGAGTGATCAAACGAGATTTAATCAACTAGTGATTTTTGAGCATTACTAGGTGCCAGGCACTGTCCTAGGTGCTACAGATGCAGTAGTGAACAGAGCAGACAGAAGCCCCTGGCCTTTTGGAGCTCACATTTTGGCAAGACAGGCAGAAAGTAAACAAATAGGTAGCAGTGGAGAAAAATGAGCTTGAGTAAAGGGGACAGGGAGCACCCAGGATGGATGGGGGTTGACATTTAAGATTGGGTAGTTTGGAATGTTATTTGATTGGAGGGCTAAAGGAAATGAGAACAAGCCATGTAGCTCTCTGGGAAGTGTTTCAGTCAGAGGAAACGACCAGCACAAAGGCCCTGAGGAGGGCGCATGCTTGGCTTGTTCAGGTCAGAGTAGTAACTGAGGAGCAAGATTGTGGCGGGCCTTATAAAGACCTTAGCTTGTACTGTGAGTGAAACGGGGAACCATTGGAAAGGTTGAGCAGAGGAGGGGTCTGATCTCACTTGCTTACACTTCAACAAAATTAGTGAGACTGTTATGGAGACACCATGCTGGGTGAGGGGTAGGGGAAGGACTGCAGGGTGGAAGGAGGGATACCAACAAGGAGGCTACTGTAATAAACCAAGGGACTGTGGGAACACTCAAAGTGGGTTGTGGATGTTTTAAAGAATAAGCTGCAGGATTCCTAAGACCAGTTGTGGGCTGTAAGAAAGAGGAGTCAAGGATGACTCTGGGGTTTTTAGCCTGAGCGACTGAAGAAGAGTAGTTGCCTTCTCCTGAGATGGGGGGAAGATGGAAGGAGTAGGTTTTAGAGGGAAAAAGAGGAGTTTGGCTCTGGACATGCTGAGATGCTTTCTGGAAAGGTCAACTAGAAGCTGGATATGGGTGCCTGGAATTCATGGGGATATATACTTGGAAGTCATCAGCACAGAGACCGATGTGATCACTGAGGACAGAATGTGGTTGGAGAAGAGAAGAAGTCTGAGCACTGAGCCCCAGGAGAGATTAGAGGAACCACCGAAGACACAGGAGGCACAGTGCCCAGCCCTGAATCAAAGTCGAAAAGGGACTGGGCTTAAGCAGCTCTCAAGTGGGTTGTAGACTCAGGCTCTGAAGCCAGAAGTGAAATCGGAAGCCACATTTGTGATGATTAGGAGTATGGATTCTGGAGTTCGAATCCCAGCTCTGTCACTTACTCCCTGTGTGACCTTGGCCTCGTGTACTTAACCTCTTGAGCCTGAAAGATGGGGGTGAGAATAATGGCCCTTTGCTCTGCTCAGCAGGGTATTTGTTTCTGGCCTGTAGAGCAGGGTGGCAGAGAAACGGGGGGTCAGAGAGGCCTGGAGTAGGTAGTGGAGGTGTGAGGTGGCTTGGGCATGGGGGGTTTGAGGCCTTCTGGTTGGTGCTGGGTTCTGAAGTAGAGGAATGTCAGGGAGCTGGGTTCTGACATACGTGAGAGAAATGTTAGTTGGGAGAGGGGCCCACATCAATTGCTGTGCGAGGGGGAGGGGATAAATCAGGGAAGACCTCAAAGAAGTGACATTTGAGCACAGGGTAAGTGGAATTGGATATTCCAGGCTGAGGGAATAGAAGACATGAAGACAGGGACATGGCAGAAGTGTTTCTTTGGGCTGGAGCAGGAGTGAAAAGAGTGAATAGGCTTGGAAAGAAAGATAGGATGGGATCGGGTCATAGAAGGCCTCAACACCCAGAATCAAAGTTTGCATGCTATGGTAAAAGGCAGTGGGAGCCACTGAAAATTTCTGAGTGACTTGGTGTGAACAGATTGGAGGTAGCAACACAGACCAGAGGAAGGAAAGCTGTGAAAACTGAGCAGGTTGGCTCAGAGCCTGGGCCTTAGACAGACCTGAGTTTGAATCCCAGCTCCTCCACTTAGTCACTGTGTGACCTTGGGCATGTCATCTAACTTTCTGAACCTCAGCTTTCCTCTCTGTCAGATGGGGTCATTGTGAGGATAAAATGTACTAAGGAGAGAAGAACATTTAGTACAGTGCTTGGTTTCTAGTAAGCCACAGATAAGTATTAGCTGCTGTCGGTCACGCTGAAGATCCATGAGGAGGCCACTGAGTAAGTCCAGGCAAGGGTAGGGCCAGAGAGTCGGGTGGGGATGGAGAGATGGTGGCCAGAGGAGGGGGACAGTCCTCGTGCAGCTGTCCTTTTCAGTTGTGCTTGTGTGTCTGCTCCCATGTATCCATGAGTGCCTGGTACTAAGTGCAAGGGGGCTGTTCACAGGTGGGCCTCCTGAACCCTGAGGCACCACCTCTGAGGGAAAAGCCCACTCTGACCCCCATCCCACCCCAGGAATGGCAGTGAGGTGGGGAGCTTGGGAAGCAGAGAGTAGACCATGAAGGTTGAATGTGTTAAGACAACCAGAAGGACCACTGTGAAGACCACCCATAAGTGTTTCCCCTGACTGAACACAGCCCAGCGGGGACCCATTAGGCCAGTTCCTTAACACCTCCCTTTTGAAGCCTGTTTCCTCCTCTGGCAGATCATCTCCCCTCCCTCCCAGGGTGGGCATGAGGGTCAGAGATCATGACCAGAAGTCACTTGGCATATAGTAGGTGCTAAGAACAGGGTTTGTACCCACAGGCAAAGCATGAGGGCTGGATGGGGAGGCTTCAGACTGACCTGGCAGGGGAGGGGGGCAGAGGGTTGGGCAGGACAGAGGCTACTTCCCAGCCTCAGAGGACAAAGCAGGACTTTGACAAATAGAGGAGGACACTTCAGGTGGAGGGACCGGCCTGTGCTCAGGTCTGCCGCCTGCCTGTCCCGAGAGCAGTGAGGAGCGGAGGGCCCTGGAGGGGGAATGACATGCGCAGGTTTGTGTTTTAGAGAGATCACTCTGGCTGCAGTGTGGAGGAGGAGCTGGAGCTGGGAGAGGCTGAAGGCAGGGAGTCCAGTTAGGAGGCTGGTACCATAGCACAGGTGAGCTGAGAGGAGGGCCTGGCCTAGGCCAGTGGCTGCGGGGATCCCGAGGAAGGGCCCTCCAAGGTAGAAGAGGTAGAAGCCTCAGAAGGAGGGGGAGGGGGGCTTGGGCAGCCTGTGATACCCTCCACTGAGCCAGTCAGTCCTGCAGGAGGAGGACCAGGAACCAGTGGTGGCAAGCGGCATCTGAGGGTTCCAGCAGGCAGGCAGGCCGGCCCTCCAGGCTGACTCTGACTCTGCTGTTACCAGGGCAGCCGAGGGGCCTCCCTGGGGAGTGCAGGGCCAGCCTTTCCCTCCCAGTTTCCTGCAAGACCTTCTCACCCTCATCAACACCTCCATCACCACCCCTCACCTCCAGGCACTTGCTCATTGGGGACTCTGAAGGGGGTGTGGTGGGGGCAGGCCCTGAGTCCAGCAGTGGCCAGCCAGATTGTATGCACTGCCCCGTAAATGAGCCTTTGTCCCTTTTCCTGTCCCCCAGAACTGCCTTAGGGGGCAGTACCCAACCCCCTGGGAATCCCAGAGCCCCCCAGCTGACAAGCCTTCCCTGTGTTTCTTCCCCCTGCTGCAGATGTCGGTGGGACCCCCCGATTGCCCTGTGGGAGGGCCGCTGACCTTTCCAGGTCGAGGAGCTGGGGCTGGGATGGGGGCAGCCCTGGCCCCACTGCCCCCTCCCAAGATGCCTCCCCACACCATCCTGAGCACCGTCCCTCGGCAGATGTTCAGCGACGCAGGCAGCGGCGATGATGCCCTAGATGGGGATGATGACCTGGTGATCGACATCCCGGAGTGACCTGGCACCTGCGCCCTGCCCATGGCCCCCTGCCGTGCTAGCACACATGAGCCCCCAGCTTCCTCAGAGATGTTTATTGACATCCAGTTGCCATGCTTCGGCCACTGACACAATCAGAAGAGGCGTAAACATGCACAAATGCCTCCTGGGAAGGTAGGCCCTGAGCAGGGCTGGCAGGCCCCTGTCCTCACACCCCAGCCCCATCCGGGGAACAGTTATTTATTTATACGAGTGGCCTGGGAGCACCTGCCACCTCTTGAGCAAGCAGAGACCCTGTGGTGGCCACCCTGTATGAGGGCAGCTTCCAGGGCTAAGTATTTTAATGAAGACTGTATTAAAGGGGTGGCTCTTTTTCAGTTTTTTTCGTCCTTTTTTGGAAACCTCGTTTTCTTCCAAGCCCCCACTAATCTGACCTCCTCCCTGTGGGGAGGGGGACAGGCAGCCTGGAGAGGCAGGAAGGAGGATGGGCAGCGGGCCTTAGGGCAGGGGGCAGTGACAGGACTCCCCTGTACAGGTGCCAGGATGGCTGGCTTGCATATTTGCATATCATAGCGAGTCAGGCAGGCGGAAGTTTGCATATGTGAATACAGATCTCCACAGTTCCTCACCAGAAGACAGGCCCACCAGGTCACAGAGGTTCTCACAAAATAAGACAGGAAGTGCGGGGCAGGCACACCTGACCCCGTGTAAACGTGCAACACACTCGTGCAAAGGTTGGGTGCTGGATGCAGCCCCCGGGGCTGTGCCGGGCAGCCTGGTCTAGTGCTGGGAGCCGCTGTGCTGCTCAGGCTTAGGGGAGGGCTCCGGCCGCCGGGGGCAGCTCACTGGTCAGGGTGTGCCAGCGCTCCAGAACTGTGTCCGGCTGCTGCAGGCAGTTGCCCCAGTGCTTCCTGGCCTCCCCCCGGGCACCTGACCCTAGGGACACGCCACCTGGGGAGCAGGTAGAGGCAGGCAAAATCAGGGCCCAGCTTACTGCCAGTCTGCCCTCCATCATCACCACCCAGCTGGGCTCCACCCCTCACCGATGAAGTCGTTGGATTTGCCAATGTCGTAGTCCCACACTGTGACCTCCAGAGTCTTGGTGGCCAGAACAGAGAGCTCTATCTCATAGAAAAACTCCTGGGGAGAGGGCAAGCCGTACCTTCCATCAGGCCCTGACCTTCTCTTCCCCCAGCCCACCTCACTTTCTAGCCCCTGCCCCACTTACCTCATTAAACTCTGGGTTTAGGGTCTTCTTCTTCACACACGTTTTATGCTTGGATTTCTTATCCACATCTGGCCTCAGGTACCTGGGGGGAGGGGGTAGCTGTTAGGGAGGGCCCAGGTTCCAGAGGATGGGGCAGGAGTCAGGCTTCCGAGGAAGGGGAGGGTGGGCCTCAGGGCAGGGCAAGGGCTCACGTCTTGACGTAGGGGTCTGAGTAGCCATTGACGTCCATGGCAGCCAGGTGGGCACAGCGCACAATGCCCACCAGGAGCCCCCGGCGCCAGGAGCTGTAGCTGAGGCTCAGCAAGATGCGGCCACGCTCCTCCAGCAGCCCAGGGCCCTGCTCCACCTGCTCCAGCTGCAGGCGGCAGGACAGGGCTCAGCCTGGGTCCTCCGTTACCCCTCCCCCCTGCAACACACACGTGGTCTCTGAGCTGCCTCACCTCCTTCAGGTAACAGGAGATGCCTCTCAGTGCCGCCGACATGGAAGAGGGCGAGGCCAACTGAGGGCAAAGAGAAGATACTGGACACTTGGCCTTCCCAGCGTCCCCACCCCTGGCGTCTCTACAACCCCCCTCTTCCCCACAGACCGGGACCTGGCGCTCAAGACAGATATTAAAGTGCTTCTTCTGGGAAGGCTTGAGGCGGCGGAGGGGCACGCGGATCTCCCCGATGAACTCGTTGTGGCTCAGCTTGTCCTCATCACAGACGGAGATCCTGGCAGGGAACTGCAGGGTCAGGGCCCCCGGGCTACCTGAGCCCTGCTGCAGTGTGGGAGAAAGATCCTCGGACTGAACTGAGAAGCCCAGGCTGGTCCCAGCTCTGCCCTAAATACTCCACATCTCAGCTGTAAAATGCGCTTCCTCACAAGGGCTGCACCGCAAGCACCAGGCCTGGAGCTTGAGAAAGACGATTTGCCTCTGTTCCTCCATCCCTCCCTTTTGGGCCGCCCTTGGTCCATCAGGCCCTGCTCAGCTACTCCAGGAAGCTCTCATAGGTTTTAAGGACCACTTCATTCAGGGCCTGGGGGCAGGATCTGACTGAGCATGCACAGGGTGCACACTGATGGCACGGGTCACAGATTCAGGATGGAAGAGCTAGAAGGGCCTTGTCCTCTGGCACTCCTCTCCATGGAGCAGGGAGCCAGCCCAGGAGAGACCAGGAGCCCCAAGATGAAAGTATTACTTCTATCCATCCCCTTCTGCAGCCCCCTGTGCTTCCTGCTGCTGTGATGGCTCTGTTGAGTGGCCGTGTGATGGAGCAAAAAAATACTAAACCCATTGCCATTGAGTCGATTCCGACTCACAGCAATACTACAGGACAGAGTGAAACTGCCCCATAGGGTTTCCAAGGAAGAGCTGGTTGATTTGAACTCCCAACCTTTTGGTTAGCAGCTGAGCTCTTAACCACTGCACCACCAGGGTTCCATAGTGGAATGTAGGGAGGGGTCCAGACTCCAGCTCTGCTACTTAGCTATCTGTGTGACCTTAGGTAAGTCACTTAACCTCCCTAATCCTCTATGCCCACCTCCTAAAGCTGTTCGAGGAGCAAGTGAAACCAATGTAAAAGTGCTTGGCCAGGCGGGGCACCAGTGAGCACTCAGTAAAGTGTTAGTTCTTTTCAGGCCTCATTCTCTTATACCTGGAATCTGATGCCAACCTTTCTGGTTTCTGTCTCTGTTCTCCCTTCCAATCTACCTCCACACCTCATCACCACCTCCATCACCACCAACGCAATCTCTAAAACACAGCCCTGACCATGCCCCTTCCCTGCTACAAACCCTTCCATGGCTTCCTATTTCCCAGATAGGGTGAACCAAGAGTGAGGTCACGGCATATGCCTGGGTTCTACCGCCTTCGCTGGCCTGAGGAAACGCTCCCTGCAGCTCCATCTCCTCTGGTGATGGAGGAAGTTCTCTGCCCCTGAAGACTTCACTCCTGAGAGATTTCAGGGGGTTGCAGGGAGCAGAATGGGCAGCTGCGGAGGCCTGGCTTAAGTCAGGGCTCTGAGAAAGGGTCTCGGTGATCAGAGAAAGCTTTCAGGAGGAGGCCGAGTTTGGGCTGAGCCTCAAATGATGAATGGGAGTTTGGCTGGCATGGAGGGGGCGAGTGGCGCTTTCTAGGTAGAAGAGATAAAGGTCAGGAGTAAGGCAATTGGCCAGTTGGAAGGGGCAGCCCTGTGTTTGAGGAGCAGTAATGCAAGGGAAAACTTCTGGCCTTCTGCCAAAGGGGATAGGAGACATTGAATGTTCTTGAGCAATGGAGAGGTAGGGTCTGAATGAGAGACAGGGAGATGAGCCACCAAAGAAGGTTACAGTGTCAGCTGTCATGGAGCCCTCACCTGAGCACCTTGTGGGTGATGTCGTCGTCTGTGATCCCACTGTACGTCAGGTCCTCATTCCACACGGGATTCAGCGTGTTCCTCTGAGTCTTGGTTTTAAGCTTATTGGCCTGGGGTGCAGAGACGAAGGGTTCTAAATCCGTGTTCCCAGATGGCTAGAGGCTGCAGGCAGGGGCTAGAGGGGTCTAGGACAGACCCACAGGCTGGGCCAGGCTGGGGGAGGGAGGAGGCCCTTACCTTGCAGGCTCCAGGCAGTAGGTGCAGCTTGACATAGGGGTCAGCCAGGCCATTAAAATCCATGGGCTTGAGGCCCTGGGGAGGAGGGAGGAAAAGAGGACTGTGGGTGTCAGCCTTTCCCTCACTCTGCAGAGCTGGATCCTTGAGGTGTGGAGAGGCAAAAAGGGGGTGGGGAAGGAAAGGGCAGGGGCCTGGCCTGGGCAAGGGAAGGAAGGATGGAAACCCACCCTTCCTGGGGCTTGGGGAGCAGGGAGTGCCCACCCACCTTGGCCCTGAGGATACTACAGTGCAGCGTGCAGGAAGCTTGGTCGTAGAGAAGGTCAAACTCCAACATGCCTAAGGTGGCTGGAGAAGAGGGAAAAGATGTGAGTCAGTGTGTAAAGACAGGTGTGTGAGACAAACCAGATGGGCAGGTGTGATGGCTGTCAAGGTGTGTTCATGTGTCTATCAGCCTGGGAGCATGTATGCAAGAAAATGAGTTGGCATGTGTGTGTGTCTGTCTGGGTCCCTGGCTCGGCCACAACTAGGGCTGTGTGGGTGGTTGAGTGTCTCAGCAAAAATTTTTAATATTGAGCCTTGCTGAGACATTCATCTCCACACTGACTGCCGCTTTGGAAGCAGTGCCTCTGCCTTCCACCCGCACATGCACCCCACAGGGCCCAGTCCTCTCCCCACAAGCCTGGAGGCCCCCACTAGCACCCTGGGCCCTTTAAGCCCCCAAACTCACTGGTATCATCGGAGTCATAGCTGTCCACTTCAGCTCCATCCTCGGGCGTGGTGGCCCCAAGGAGGGCCACAGGGGGGGCCAGGGCCAGGGGGGCCAGAGCAGCAGGGGCCTCCCCAAAGCCTCCACAACCCCCTTCGGGTCCTGGTACCCGGCGGGGGAAGTAGTCAGAGATCTGGCGGATAGGCCGGATGGGCCCGGGGCACACGTTGATGGCCATGTGCTCCTGGATGTTGATGGTCATGCGGTCACCCCTGCGGCCCCTCATGCAGCACCCCTGCTGGGGGAGAGGGGAGAGAGCATGAACCCAGGGCTAATTCCTCACACCTGCCCTCTGCTGCTGAGGGGCCCTGCAGCAGCCCTGTCCACCTAGAGGGCCCTCACTGGCCTCCCTTACTGGGTGTCCAGGGAGAGGGTGGCCTGTGCCAGCTGGTGGGCAGACAAGAGGCCTGGGCCCTCCAGATCCCAAGCCTTGCCCCACAGGAGCTGGGCTGCCAGCCCACTCCCCCAGGATAGGCTCTGGCTCCACCTCAGTCTTGCCCACTTACTTCTAAATTGTCCCTTTGTCCATCTTCCCAGCTCCTGCCCCTCATTCTGGGCTTCTGTCTGGCCCTGGGCCCAGCCCTCCCAATAAGCGGCCCCATAGGCCCCCTCATCTGTCCTTGGAGGCTCCGTCCAGCCCTCTGCACCAGGCCCACCCCTCTAGACCTCTAGACTTTAACGGCTCATTGTCCCTCCATTCAACCCCAGGATCTGCCTCCTTGCCTGATCGCTCCCTTCAGCCAAGGTGGGGACCCCTGCCTCAGATGCTTCCCCCTGAGCTTGCCTCCCCAGGAAGCCAGAAATCGCAGCCGATGGAGAGCGGAACACCCCCGCAGGCACACACAGGCTAACACACACACTCACCCTCACCCTCAAGCCCCCGCCGGCCCAGCCCCCTGCACCTGTCTCTGTGCGTCCAACAGGTGCCCGAGCACTGGGGGACGGCGGGTGCAGGCTGGGCGGTGGCGGCCGGCGCTTCCCAGGGCGGCCAGCGAGAAGAGCGCGGAGTCCGGCTGTGTGAGCCGAGAGGAAGGGAGAACAGAAGAAAGTGCGAGGAGGAGGGGGTGAGCGAGGTGGAGGGAGGCTGCAGCCGGCGCAGGCGGCGGGGGGCGGGGAGGGGCGGCCAACGGCTGGGGAGGGGGTGGGCCTCTCCGCTCCGTCTGGGCAGCCCGCCTGGGCACACTGAGAAGCGCACACGAGTGCACACACACTTACAGGCACGCAGGCTGGCACACGTGCACATGGGCCAGCACACACATCTTGCATGGACACTCCCGCGCGCGCACGCCTGTGCCCACGTGCGCACGCTCACACACATGCACATACCCAGACACGCACTGGCACACTCACCCGGAGAACTTCCCAGACACACTCGCAAACACACGGGCTCCCTGTGCCACCAGGAACCAACAGAGAGAATTGCCTGGTATTTCCCAACTCCACCCGGGAGACCCGGACCCGCGCGCGAAGCCCATCGTACCTTCCTTCCGCACTTCTTCCTTCTCTCCGGGGTCTCCAGGGCCAGACCACCGGCCTAGTTGCCTTGGCGACGCCGGCTCCTCCCCGCCAACCCTGGGCATCCTCACGCCCCTCCCCCGCAGAGAGCGCGAGGAGGAGGGAAGAGGGCGTCTGGCCCTCCCCCTCCCTATCCGTAGAGGCGGGGCTGTGGGCGGGGCTTGAAGATCCGCAGTGACTTGGGGTGGGTGGAGGAAGGGGTTCCAATCCACCTGTGGTTGCTGGCCTAGAACCTTTGCTCACACAGGCTTCTCTCCCCGGGAATACCGTTCCTTCTTTCGGGGGTCACTCCGGGTCACCTCTTCCGAGGAGCCTTGCCGGCGTATCTGTCCGCTGCTCCTCAGCTTCCAGTGCTATCTCAGACTCTGCTGACACTGTTTTGTCGATCCTGTTTACATCTCTGCCTCCCCCACCAGCCAGAGAGCTCCACAGCGGGCAGAGGCTGATTCATCTGAGTCCCCAGTGCCCCAAACGGCCAGGCACAGTCAGTATCACTAACTCTTTGTGATTTAAAAGTTAGAGAAAAATCAAACTACACTGAGATACCACTTGGCGTCTATCAAATGGGCAAAAATTAAGGTGTCAGTTAACACACGGTGTTGGCAAGGCTGAGGGTAAATGGGCATTCTGGTCCACTGCCACTGTAAAAGTCATAGGCACCCTCTGAGGAGGTCTAGCTGGCAGTGGATACCAAGATGACAAATATACATACTCTTTGACCCAAAAATTCCATTTCTAGGATTTTATCCTAGCTATGTTAGTCCATGAGCAAAATAATAGAAGTTCAAGGTTATTAGCTGTAGCATGCTTGCAATGGCAGCAGTTTGGAAACAACCTAAATGCCCATTGGTAGGGGACTGTTATATCATTATGATACATTCATATCATGGAATAGTATGCAGCCATGTAAAAGCAGGAGGCTGTTAATATACTTGTATCATCTTCATGATCTCATGTTAAATTAAAAAAAGCAAGGTGCAGCACAGCATACATAGAAGGCTGCCATTTGGTGGAAAAAGACTTAGATATGTTTATTTGTGCATATATTATTTCTGGAAGACTGCACAAAAAGTGGTAACTCTGGTGGCCTCTGATGAGGATGCTGTGGGGCACGGTGGAGCAGGAATAGCAAGGAGACTTATCTTTCAATGTATATCCTTTTGTACTTTTTAATTTTGTACCATGTACATATATTACCTATTCAAAAGAATCTATTAAAATAATATATTTTTTAAGTAAAGGCAATCATTAGGTTCCCTTCAGAGCACTCCAGGGTAAGCAAGGAGGCAAGATGAAGAAAGGCTCTGTCCAGTACTACAGCTGGTGGGTTTGGCAGGAGGGCACCCTTTACTCAGATGCCATAGGTAAGGGGAGGAGGGCAATCTGGTCAACGCGCGCTGTTTTCTCGCAGTGTTCAGCTCTGGGCCCAGGCCAGCAGCCTCGTTGAAGGATGGTGAGGATGAGACTGGAGATCAAACCTGTTGCAGAGGAAAATGGCAGACCATGCTGAGTCCTGGCTTGTCCAGAGGTAGGAAGGCTTTTCATTCATTCAGCCAGTCGTCCACCCATACATTCAGTAAATATTTATTGAATACCTACTGTATATGTGATGAGACAACTATGAACAAGATCCCTGCTTCAGTAGCCTCATGGGGGAGATAGACAAAAATTCCAATTCAGTGTGATGGATACTGTGACGGGTTGGTCAGAAGGCTGTGAGAGCTCAGGGGGTACTTTCCAGAGAAGATGTTGTCTCAGCTGAGGCCTGAAAGAGGAGGAGAAGGTAACCAAGTCAAGTGTGGGAGCAAGAGTATCCTAGGCAGTGGGGATTATACATATGAGCAAAGGCTGGAAGGCTGGCAAGAACTTAGCATATTCAAAGAATGGGCAAAAGGTCAGCGTTGATGGAGTGTGCTAAGTCAGGGAACGCATAGGAGAGCTGAGGTGAGTGGGTGGATAGGCAATGGTCATCAAGGGTCCTACAGACCAGGGTAAGAAGTTCAGAATTCATACTATGAGTGGGAAGCCATTGTAGGAGTTTAGGAAGTGGATCTACATGTTCTGATCTGTTCTGGCTGGTGGCTGGAGAATGGAGGGATCTTAAAGGGTGTCTTAGTTATCTAGTGCTGCTATAACAGAAATACCATAAGTGGATGGTTTTAACAAACAGAAACTTATTTTCTCATGATTTAGGAGGCTAGAAGTCTGCATTCAGAGCACTAGCACTAGGGGAAGGCTTTCTGTCTCTGTTGGCTCTAGAGGAAGGTCTTTGTCTCTTCAGCTTTTGTTTCCTGGTTCCTTGGAGATCTCCATGTGTCTTGGCATCTATGTTGTTACCCCATCTCACCTCTGCTCACTTAATCTCTTTTATATCTCAAAAGAGATTTACTCAAGATACACCCAACACTAATCCTGCCTCATTAGCATAACAAAGACAACCCATTCCCAGGCATAGAGGTTAGGATTTACAATACATATTTTTGGGGGACATAATTCAATCCATGACAGAAGGTAAGAGTGAGCATAGAAAGATCAACCAGGTGAGACATGGAGTCGGTTTAAATGAGGGGGGCGGCGGTGGTGCGGGAGTAGGAAGGAGTGGAGGGAGTCAAGATTTATGTTGGGAATTGAGCCACAAAGTCTTGATTATGGGTGTGTCCGGTGAGAGAGAGAGAGAGATCTGGGATGATTCCTAGTAGTGGGATAATTCTGTAGCAGTGGTGAGACCATTTGCTGAAATGAAAAGACTAGAGAAGTAGCAGGTTTAGGGTAGGTGAATCAAGAGCTCCATTTGGGATATATTGGGCTTGAGATGTTTTTGGAAATACAAATAGATATCAAGCAGGAAGTTGGATACAGGACTCTGGAGCTCAGGGGAGAGGTCTGGGCTGGAAATATACATTTGTGAGTCACCAGCATATAGATGGTATTTAAAGCCATGAGACTGGATGAGATCACCTAGGGAGAGAGATTATAGATAGAAAGAGAAGGTCCAAGGCTGAGCTGGGGAGAGTAGGAGGAGCTCTGAAGACTGGTGAGTGTGGCCCCCGCGCTTGGAGTCAGGGACGGTGCACTCTGCTGAGACATGGAAGGAAAAGAGTTGACAAGTTAAGAGGTCATTGGTGGACTTGACAAAGGTGGATTCTGGTAGATCAGGAGGGGCTGAAGACTAAATTAAAGGTGAGGGAGTGAAGACTGTTAAGTATAGACAACTCCTTAGGAGTTGTCCTAGACTGTCAAAATGTGCATCCTTGTGTGGTCCCCCCCTGTAGTCCCCCGACAGCAGAGACCATGCCCTGATGATTTCTACCTAAGCCATAAATGGAGCTCAGCCCAACACTTAGCGGGAGCTCCTACAGTTATCTAATGGTTGGATGAATGAATGATTGGATAATTCGCTGCTTGAGTCTAAAGGGCCTTTTCTGGTAGAGAGAGCAGCTGGATTCTTTTGAGGCAACTGAAGAAACTAAAAAATCCACCCCAAAGGCTGAAATGATCCATTTGCTGAGATAAAAAGATTAGGGAAGCAGCAGGTTTGGGGTAGGTGAATCAAGAGCTCCATTTGGGATATATTGCATTTGAGATGTTTTTGGAAATACAAACAGATATCAAGGGGGGGCTCTGGACCCCCTCCTCCCAGCTAAACCTGAGGAGCAGCTGCAGGCCTGGGCTGGGAGCCCTGGTGCTAAGTCAGGAGCCAGGTTCTGGTGTTCGAGTCCCTGCTTCCCCTCACTGGCTCTGTGACTTGGGGCAAGTCGCTTCCACTCTCTCAGAGGTGCAGGGGAAGCTGCTCGCGGGAGCCAGTCCCAGTGGAGGTCACATAGATGTTAGCGCCCCTCCTCTCTTTCCTATTTTCTTTCCTCTCTGGCTTGTTTTCTTGTTAGGAACTAGGAGCTGACGATGGCAGGGGTTGCTGTGAGAATGGATGGGCTAGTACTTTGGGGTCCCTGAGGGGAGGGCAGATGAGATACCAGTGGGGAAGGAGCCTCCATCTGTAGGGCAGAGGATCTCACACACCCCACAGACACACGTCTGGCTTTGAGGGAGTCATGGAAATGGGCCTGTCGGGCTGTTGGACAGGTCCCGGCCAGCTGAGCCATCTGTATGTAGAAAGACCAAGGAGCCCCTGAAGCAACCTTGGGCTTGGGTGGGGCGGAGCATATCTGTGATAGGCAGGACTACCTGCCAATCAGACGGGAGCTAACTCTTAAAAGCAGAGATGAGCTCCCAGGTGTGGAAGGAGCTGTTGGAAAGTGGCAAATAGAAAAAAACAGGAAATAGAGAGGAAAAATGGATATGGCCCTTGGGGGAGTCTATGGGCCACAGAAAAGGAAACTGGGACCTAGAGAGGGAAGCCTGTGAAGGCTCTCTAGATGGCCATGGGTTCTGCCTCAGGATGGGCCAGGGGGCTTCATGCTAACAATCCCCCTGCCTGTTGTCCCCTACAGTGATCTCTTCCTGTAGCACCAGACGCCACCCGTGGGGAGAGGCCGGAGGAGGGGTCTGGAGACAGGGAGCTGAGGCTTCCTTGGTTCAGAGGTGAAACGGGCAGACAGGAGTGGATACTGCTGCCACCTAGTGGTGAAAGCCTGCTATTTCACTTGGTTCCGAACTCCGGGGTTGTCCTCAGCTGAGCACGAAAGAGACAGGGTCTGGGGAATGGGGGAGACTGCTGTATCCCTGAATTTGCTAACACAGTGCAAGAGAGAGACTCAGGGAGGAAAATACACATCCCGGAAACGTATTACCCACATTACTTTGCCCCTCTGTGCCTTGGTTTCCTCTTCTGTAAAATGGGGGCAACAACAGTACCTACTTCATAGGATTGTTGGGATAGTGAAATAAGTCGATCTATGTACTTAGCATAGTAATAAATGCTAAATGCTACCTGTGGTAACTGGAGGTGTTTAGCCCTGCCCTTACCCCCATGTGCCACTGTACAAATGCAGCATCCCTTAGTCCTGCTTTCAGATTGCCCACCTCCTAGTTATCAGTTCTGGGGTTGCCATGTTACTGTTTCAACAGCAGCAGCAGCAGCAGCCCAAAGGTCCCAGCCTCTCCTCTCCGGCCCAAGGGCTTATGGGGAGGGTCCCAGTTCCTAGTACTTTCTCCCCTCCCCGTACAGTTTGTCATCACAATGGGTCTGGGCTGTGACATCAGAGAGCCCCATCCCTGGGGTGGGAGCTGAGGGGTCATGAGGCCAAGGCTGTGGCCACTGGTGTGGCTGTGGCTGGCTGGGCCAGGGGCGATAGAAACAGGTGGGAATCTGGGGGAGCAGTGGGGAAGGAAGAAGGCTTGAGGAGAAAGAATCAATGCCCCTTAGGGACAGGGAGGCCAATCCTGGGTTGTTCTCTTTTCTCTCACCCGAGCGTGGGCCTTTTCTCAGCTCAGCTGACCCTAGAGTCCCTGGGGACAAAATCAAGCCCCCCATAGCCACACTAAGACTGTGTGGCCTACCAGGGCCTGAGTCACAGTGGGGACAAGGTCCTGCTGGCCTGTTGTTACAGACATTGCTGTGGGCCCTCAGCCCCCAGCCTGGAGAGGGCCAAGGCCTTGGCCCCAGAAGCAGAGTCTCTGCCCTTCTTAGACAGACCTGACTTCTTTGATTACCCCGACTCGGACCAAGCCAGGCTTCTGGCCCTATCCCAGTTTATTGGAGAGAAACCTGTCATTTTTGCTACCTCAGGTATGAACCGGCTTGCACAGGGGCCTCCCTCCTTGCTGGGGCCTGGAGCAGAGCTGCCCTTGGGCCCTTCAACTGGAGCTGAATTAAGGGTTCCCTTATCCCCTCCCTGTCTAGCAGGCTCCAGCTCCGACTTCTTCCACCACATCCTGGTGGCCGCCCTGATGCTGGCCTTCTTCTTCCTCCTTTTCCAGTTCTGCAGCCACATGTAAGCCCTCCCAGGCCCCACCCAGCTCTGTCTTCCTCAGGCAGCCCAGGGAGGTAGCAGGGGACCTCCCACCTTTGATCTCCATCCCACAGGAGCTGCCAGAAAGGGGCCTGAAGAGTGGATGAGTGCCCTGGATCCCATCCTGAGTGGCCAAATCCACCTCCTCTCCTGCTGATAAATAAAGTCCTGGTTTTCTTCTTCCCTGTCAGTGAGCAGCCAGCAGGCCCTTTCCTTGCTTGTGTGAATCTGTTTCTTCTCCCCAGGCGACCAGCCCTCATTTCCCGGGCCCCGGTCCCACTCCCAGCCCCAAAGAACTGAGTGCGGAAAGGGCCTGGCGGCGTCACACAAGTCGTCTTTATTAGCGGTCTGGAAAGCACCTCCCAGGGCCCCCGAACCCAGACTGGAGGAAGCCTTGAGAGGTCTGTAGCACCAGGGACATGCCAGGGCCCGAGGGCAAGATGTGCAGCCTACAGGTGGGGAGGCACGGGGCAGCCATCTCCCCCCAACCCTCAGCAAACTAGTTTGGATTTGGGTGAATAAATAAAATAAATAAGATTCCTCTAGACTGGCCTCCCCTGGAGAGCTGTGGGGGCAGCCAGCTCCGTGAGACCCACGGGGGTTGGCTGGGGTGTCCTCTGCCACCCAAATGACAGGGAGCTGAGAGGTGGAACAGCAGAGGTGGGGATGTCCTTGGTGGGGGTCTTCCATGTTCTTTGACCCCTTGCCCCCTTGTATCCCTGTCGGACTCGCCACAAGCCCTCAAACCCGAAGTGGCTGAGAAGTGGGGCTCCTTTCTGCTTTTCCTTCACTTCTCCAGGGCCCCCAGGGTGATTGATTGGAGAAGGGGCCGCACAGGAAGGGGCTCACTAGCCCTCAGTTCAGGTGCTGTGGGGAGAAGAGGTCCCCCCTCTCCCTACTTTCCCCTTCACCTGGTCCCGGACCCTCAGCCCCCTGAGGGAAGGTGTTCCCTTGCCCTTCTGAGTACACCTGTCAGTCCTGGGGCTGTCAGGGCAAGAGGCCCCTGGCTCCCAACCCCCACCCATCAGTCCCAGAGCCCGGTCCCCACCGGAGGGTCCCCTGACCCCATCCTCAGTCCTGGGTCTGACAGGGGGAGGGCGGTGGGGAGCCCCGTGGCCGGAAGAGGCGGCAGGCCCCACGGCAGATGAGGAAGAACCAATACAGCTGAGGGGCAAGCAGCAGCGCGGCGCCCAGGTTGACATGGGCCGGGAGGGCGAGGGGCACAGAAAGCAGGGGCAGGCCGGCGTGCCGCCCGTAGGCCCAGTACAGGTAGGGGAAGAGCAGCACCCGGCAGCACAGGAAGCTGAGCAGCATCAGGGCCCCGTTCACTTTGTGCAGCAGAGTGTGCTGCTGCTTGTACTGTGGACGGAGAGCCTGGCTGAGGCAGGCAGAGGGTGTGCCTCTCCCCATGCCCCAGTGCCCCACCTACCCCTCTGCCTCCTGCCCCTGCCCACGCCCCACTGCCCCATCTACCATCTGCCTCCTGCCCCTGCCCACACCCCACTGCCCCACCTATTCCTCTGCCCACCTACCCCCCTCTGCCCTCCTCCCTGCCTTCCACTCTTCTGGGGCAGGGGCCAGGTTAAAGGCCCCAGACCACCCCCGTCCTGCCTCTCTCTACCTTAGCTGATGGCTCCTCCAAGGCCTGAAACTTCACCTGTCCTTTAGAGAATCCCTGAAGGTCCCTGAAAAGTGCCAGTTCACTTGGCAAGGCTCACCCCCTGCCATTTCTGTGCCTCTCTTCAGGCCTGTATACCCTCAGGTGCCCTCTCACCTGGATGAGGATCTTGCCAAGGCAGACGAAGGGGGTGCTGACCTCTGCCATCAACAAGCAGCCTAGAAAGAAATCCCCCTTGCCCTGACGCCACACCTGAAGAGAGGAAGGGAGGTGAAGGGGCCGGGGCTCATCCTGGATTCCTGGGAAGCCCCCGCCTTTCCTCTGTCCCCTCTGCCGCTTTTGGGGATGCTTAACTCAGACAAGTCTGAGCACATGTGTACAGCAGCAAGAGCTGGGTGCATTACCTCACCGCATCCCTCAACAATCCTGCAGGTAAGATTTTAGACCTTATTACAGGTCAGGAAACTGAGACATGTACCAACAGCTCCCAAGCACCCAGCTGGGCCCAGAAGACCAGGCCAGGCTGACTCCAGACCCTCCTGTTGACTGGGGCTGGGCTGGTGCTCTGTAAATGCCACCGTGAATGACGCTCTCTGGTCCTGTCCTGGGCCCCACCCTGCTGCCGGGATCTGGCCCTGGGCTTCCGGGGCTCCTACAGGGCTGGCTCGGGTGAAGCACAGAGGAGCTGCCTCTGCCGGGGCCATCTGGCCCTGCAAGGACTCACCACTGAGAGCGGGAAGCACACCAGTACCATGACGGCGTGGTGGAGCACCATGAGGAACTCCTTATGCAGGTAGGCGCGCGCCACGGCCCAGGTGCTGCCCGGGGGGCTGGCCCCCCCATCGTCCCCACCATGCCCCTTGACCTGGTGCTTGTGCCAGTGGCAGAGGAACATGGCGTAGATGTCGTAGATGAAGTAGGGCACTGCAAACTGTGTGTAGGCAGAGGAAAGCCAGTGTCTGTGGGCAGAGAAAGGGATCAAGGAAGGAAATGGACAGTTAGAGAGCAGCTGCCCGGGGCCAGGGTCAGTGCTGGGGGCGCAACTCCAGCCAGATCCCAAGTGATCATCATAACAGTCCTGAGACATGCATGGAGTCTCATGCCATAGATGGCGCAACCCAAGGGTCCCGGGCAAGATACTTGCCCAAGATCACATGGTCACACGGCTAGCACGTAGGAGAGCTGGGGTTCTGACCTTAAAACCCGTGCATTTTTCAAATTCATTCATATCCATCCTTTCCCCGCTCTCCCTGCACCATGGTGGGAGAGAAAGGGGAAGAGCCACAGACCACATGGGCTGAGAAAATAAGCTCAGTCAAGGTCAGGGAGAGAGCTGAGGTTGGGACCATAATAGCAGAAGAAGTGAGAGCAGTGGGGAAGAGAGTATCGGCTAACAGCTGACTGCTTACAAGGTGCAACACTGTTCAAATATTCTAAACCTTTCACATGCAAAAACTCATTTACTACCCGCTCCCCACAAAAAACCCATAAAGGTAGGTATGATTATCATCCCCATTTTACAGGTGAGGAAACTGAGTCATAGAGAGGCTAGGTGACCTAGGAGTAAACCTCAGCAGTCTGGCTCCAGAGCCCCACCGTCCCTAGAAGATTCCAGGAAGGTGTCAGAGACAGGCCCAGTCGGGGAGTTAGCGGTGTGCCAGGGCTGCCTGCTGTGTTTGAATGCGGCCCAATCTCTTGTTTTTTTCAGGACCAGACAAGCACTAAAGGGAAACACTGGGCAAAAAGGAGCCAAGGATGGAGAAAGTACAATGCACTTTGAGAGCAAACAAAAATAAAAAGTAGATGAATATGCAATATTGCATTTATTCTGCCCGAGTCAGCGCGTTGAGTGCTTTCTCTTGCATCCTGTGGTCCTGTGACAAGTCAGGGGTGGGGGTGCTCACAGAGGCAGGCCCAGGGGAACTTGGCCAGCTGGGTGGAGGGGCAGAAGCAAAGTCAGCCAGAAGTTGGAGAGAAAAAGAGCTGAGAGCAAATATGAGACGCCGCTGAAGAAGAGGAGTGGAGACCTGGGGTTGAGGCCAGCTAAGAACGGAGGCTGAGGCAGAGGCAGATGCAAGCCCTGGAGGGAAGGCTGGCCTGGAAGGGAGGGCAGCCCACCCTCTACAAGGGATGATGGGACAGAGGAGAGAACCTGGGCCCCATGGTGCAGTGGTGCTGGAATGTGTGACTAGAGGGGGACAGAGATGAGAAGGAAGAAACAAAGGGAGAGCCTGAGTTGAAAGGGACCCGACAGCAGAGAGCAGCCCAGGAAGTCTGGCCCAGCAGACACAAGGGACCACTGAGTTGGTGGGAGGGCTTCCAGGCCCTGGGGTGCAATGCGAAGTGTTAAATCCCAGCCCCACTCTCTCAGCAATTAGGTGCTCAGAAGTAGGAACAGCTGTTGCCCCTGGATTAACCCTGATCCTCCCCACCCAGCTGAGGATTAAGGAGGGAGGACAAGAACAGACCAAGGGGAAGGGAACTCAAAAGCCAAAAGGTGACCTCTGGGTAAGGTGTGAGGAGGAAATGTGGGGAGCCCAGGATCGTCCTGGACTCCCATGGTGGGGGAGGGGTGGGGGAGAGGGCGAGGGGGCCAAGTCACCAGGGCAGGGGCTGAAGAAAGAGTTAAGCATCTATTATGTAGGCACCAAGAACTGTTCTAGGCATTTCACACACATCAACTCAATTCCTCCTCACAGAAGCCCTTCTAGGCAGGGAATATGACCTCACTACGGATGAGGGAACTCGAACTCGTTTGTAGGAAGAGCCAAACAGAGGATGGGGGCACCTCTAGATCAGGGTTATCCTGGGGCTCAGTGGCTGCCAGAAAAGGGGAGCAGGACCAGAAGCTAAGAGTAGAGGTGCCACTCAGCAGCAGCCTGCAGGTCACCCAGAGCTGGCCCATCAGCACCACGGACAGGGCCCTCTCCCGCCTCCTGCCCCACCTCTCAGGCCTGGGTTTCCTGGCAAGCACCAGGCACTGCAGCAGCTGCCAGTGCCAAATTTTGGCCTCTTCACCTTCCCTCCCCTTCACCCCACTAGCCTGACCATTAGTGGCCTTGTTTGTGTCACCTTCTCTTCTCTTCTCCTTGTGCAAGGAGCTGGGGATACCTGGATTCTGGGAGGAAGCTAAGGGTGAGCCCAGCATAAGGAGCGGACAGCCCCAGTTGGGTACTGGTCGGAAGTGTGGTCTGAGGGATGTGAGGGTGGGAGGAAGTAGGGAAGGAAATGATATTCAAAACCTACAACAATACAAGAGGCTGGGAAGCCAGCTAGGAGCTGCTTTGAGTATTCTTTTTGATTCTCTCCTGATTCTGACCTTTAAGGACAGGACAGAGATAAATTTATCCCTGGGTGTTGAGTTGCAC